GGCTAGCTCGATCGTATTGAAACAAACATTTATAATATAAAAAAAGTTTTTTCTAGAGTAGTTGCAATCGAATAATTAAAAAAAAAAATAAAATTGTATTTTTTGATTTTGAAAATATTTTTTGACTTTTTTAACACGTCATGCCATAACTGCATATACTATGATGTAACTTTTTTGCGAATCCCATATTATTACTGTTAAAAACGAATTTCTTGTTGAAAGCAAAAAAGAGTCACGTTTGATAATTTCTTGAGATCACGCCCCAACGTAAAATAAATTGAAGCCACCCATGCGAAAAAATCTTGAGAATATTAAGTCATTTGGAGGAAAATATGTATTCAAGTGTACGAGTACTTAAATAATCCGTCACTTGAATCAAAAAAATTACGAGACAGAACTTTTTATAGAACATTTGTTCCAACATTCGGTGCGTTAGTGCGGTATTTTATGTTTTTTGAAATGGAGTTTTCTCGCCCTTTCAATTTAAATAACAGTTGTTTTCAAAATTTAAAATTGACTCTTACGTTTAGTAACACACCATTAGGTAATGTCAAAAAACAGCATACAAAAGTTCCAACGTAAGATTATGTACACTCACATAATTGGTTCAATTCTGAAAAAGAAAGAATTATGTTCAAAATACATTAGAACAATTTACATAAAATTTTCAATTACGTAAGTATAGCTACCAACGTACAACAACATCTAAATAATTGTGAATTCCATTTGAATGAAGTAAGTACGCAGTAAACAGTATTTTAGGAAGTGACAATGTTATCTCAGCATCCAGGACATCGCAGTGTTTCTGCTCTTCATGACGCTTGTCCCTGCTTTTAATTTCTTCGACAAAAACTTCGTATTCAATGAAGGTAAATCTATTGATGGAGCCTTTCCTATCTCTACAGCAAATTAGTTACCATGTATCCGTCTTTCTTCCTCCACTACTTTATTGGTAGTACTCGCTATATCTGGACTCCGAGGATAGTGTCACTTCAACTGTTTTGCACCGAAATTTTTTTGGAAAGATATGTAACCGACCCTCAACTTTATCATAAACTTTAATGATTAAATATGTAATTTATGTTTAAAATGAAAAAAATTGTTATCACAGTTTTTTAATTCTAGTTTATTCCTTTTATTTGCATTTCCACGTAATTTTCTTAATAAATCGCTCGAGCGGAATTTTTTTGTGATTAAGCAGCAAAAAAAAAAACAATAACTAATAATATTTTATAAAGTCCAGATTTGAAACTATAATATAGTGCAATAAGTGTTGTTATTAGTGATTATTTTTCATTATTTTTTTTTTTTTCGTCATAAATGACATTATAGAAATATTGAAAAAAGTAGTAACTCGAGGGGCTGCGCACTCTGAAGTCTTTTGAAAACTTCCGAGATCTTTGAAAGACTTAGAATGACTTATGAAGTCTTTTTTAATGACTTGAAGTCTTTTTTGGTAACCTTAAGCTATACGCACTCTCCAAGTCCCGGTAAAAAGTTTGAAGTCTTTTGAAGACTTCTGAAATCTTTGAAAGACTTAGGGTGAGATTACATGGAGTCTGGCAGTCTGCAGACTGGCAGAATCGCGCCAAGTTTAAAATATGTTTCAATATTAATATTTAAAACCTGTTACGTAAGCAAAGAAATAATTATCGTAATACATTTGCATTTCTGTATTAACTGATATTTATGAAAAAANTATTCCAGTAAGTCCTGGCTTAGTACTCGCTAAGTACTGCTTTAGTACTAATCAAGTTCTGTTTGAGTACCGACAAAGTACAGCTCCAATACCGGCTAAGCATACACACACTTACATATTATACTCCGCTGTTAAAGTACCTACTTACTGATGATCCAAAAGATGTACGGTAAATAGTACACAAAATGTGCTTAATTATACACAGGTCAGCTAAAGTGTCATTGTTGTTTACGTTATAAAATTTTGTTTAAAGTGCTTTGTTTTGACCAATTATGCATTAACGAATCGATTGGAAACTGCCGAATGAAATGTTTTTATCCCTTAAACTTTCATTAGACTTGAACTTCCCTATGTACGTTTTACCGACACTGATTTACAATATAAATAAAGAAAAATAATAATAGAAAAATGTATGATAAATGTTATACATTAAACTCACTGTGAATTTCTAGCTATTCCAATAATTGTATTTACCGAGACATATGTATACTCATCATGATTCATCCTTCAAAAAACAATTAAAATGGAGTTAGGGATAAATGCAGTTTTAACATATCGTCTCGAAATTAATTTATCGAACCGAAACTATGTATAATATATAACATGCCAAATTAGAGATTGTCTACAGTACTTCAATTCAGCAGAAAAATATTTATTTTAACACTGTCTCGTAAATTGGAAACTAAAATAACTCATACTGTTCATGATTCAAAAACGTACTTACCTTTGAATCCATTTTTTTTTTTTTTTCGAAAGTAATTCGTAAAATGAAAGATATACCATTTTTGTTGCAAAATAGCACAGGGGTGTACTCACCCTCTTGGCTTACTCCCGAGACGTACCTAATTTATTCTTTACTTTTGCCCACGTGGTGTATAATTAATGTGCCGTTCATGTTGACTTTGTTGCCATTACGAAAAGAATACGTGGGCCAATTCCATATCGATAATAACGTTATGAAAAGTTCTTATACTTCTTTTTATCTATATTAAACAGTTTTTAACTTTTCGACAAACGTGTGACAAAGACGTATAATTATTATTACAAAAATTAACAGCCAATATTTTACACGACACGTATACCCATTTTTATGAAACCAAGTGATGAAAAGTCGCCTTTATCCAGAAACTTTCTAAATTTGAAACTTCGCCTCGCATAAATAGGCATTAACTTTGTATTTCGAGCACCAAGTCCCTCCTACATTGCATCCAGAGAGATTTACTTGAGTAATTACTTGTTTATCAATATTATTACTTGAGTTTCCTTGAAAGACTAGACAATACCGTTGAAAAGCAATAATGAATCCAAAAATTGATTATAATTTTGAATTCTTTTATTAGAATTATAAATGATAGGTGTTTGAATACTTGTCTAGCAAATGTTTCCATAAAACGTTTAACTCAATGATAATTCTGACTAGAGAAAAGCCTTTTGTCTTCATGTTACTCACTCAGGGCCACATCCGAAACTTTAAATTCCTTGGTTTTTGTGGCAGTTTATAAAGTAAGGTCGTTTTTTACATCGGCACATACGAGAAACTCACATGATGGGTACAGCTATACAATTCTTTTATAAATAAAAGTATAAGTATTACATTACTACAATGTGTATCTTCGCCTTTTTGCCAACTTAGTTTAATTGAAAAACTGGTTAATTAATTTTCCTTATAAAAATGGTTTCCCTACTTCTGTTATTCCCGCGTAAAAATTTTTAAGTATGGCCAAACTTTGGCCCAGTTTGGGCAATGAGAAAATCCCAAACTTGGATTTTCGTTGGAATATTTTACTCAAGTTTAGCAAATGTTCTTCCAAACGTCTAAAAAATTAATTTGTTGCGTCGGGATATTAGTTGGTCTACATTATATGACTTACGAAAAATATTGAGTAAAACATTCCAACGAAAATCCAAGTTTGGGATTTTTTCATTGCCCGAGCTTGGCCAAAGTTTGGCCAAACGTTGACCACATGAACTTTGGCGAAATTTTGGCCAAACGTAAAAATTTTTACGCGGGAGAGTGTGGTTGAAAAATAG